TTCACAGGCCTGTGATGCGGCAGAGGATGGCCTGGCTTTCACAGGCCTGTGATGCGGCAGAGGATGGCCTGGCTTGGGGCAAGTGAGGACCGTGGTCCTCGAGGTAGCATCCTTTATCTTCAATGCTCTGCAGAGTCTGGTGCCGCAGATCTGCCAAATGCAACGTGTCTTTTGCTCTCGATTGCTGTTTCCATGAGCATCGACTGTGGATCCAAGCAAGACAAAATCCTTGACAACTTCACTCTTTTCCCCCTGTATCGTGATGTGACCTATTGGTCCAGTTGTGAGGATTTTGGTCTTCCTTACATTGAGTTGTCCTCCATCCTGAAGGCTACACTCCTTGATCTTCATCATTAAGTGCTTCAAGTCCTCTTCACTTCCAGCAAGCAAGGTTGTGTCATCTGCATAGTGTAGGCTGTTAATAAGCCTCCTCCAATCTTGATGCCCCACTCTTCTTCATATAACCCAGATTCTCTGATGATCTGCTCAGCACACAGACTACACAGGTATGGTGAGAGGATACAACCCCTGCACACACCTTCTCTGATTTTAAACCATGTGGTATTCCCTTGTCTGTTCACACTACTGCCTCTGGATCCACATACAAGTTCCCGATGACTGCTCTTCTTGAGGCTATCCATAGTTTGTTATGATCCGCACCGTCAGTTGCCTTTGCATAGTCAACGAAACACAAGTCAACATCTTTCTGGCATCCTCTCCTTTGAATCCAGGCTGAACATCTGTCAACCGTGGTTGGGTGATCTTAAGCAAAATGATACGTGTGTTATCAGTGATACTGTTCTATAGTTTGAGCATTCTGTGGGGCCACCTTTCTCTGGAACGGACACACCTCCAATCTCTGCCCACAGCTGTCGAGGTGGGCAAGTTCCAAGTCCAGGACTTAGATGCTAAGCCGGAGTCCTCGCCTGACTCACAGCTGAGGGACTCCTGCGATTGCCAGGTCAGATGGCAGGCTGCTGGCTGCAGAGGCCAACGGGCCCAAGCTTGGCAGCAAGAGGGCAGCAGCTGGTGACCTCCCAGGCCCAGGCTCAGAGATGCAGGGTCCAGACCCAGCAAGCCACCAACATATACTGGAAGTAGGCCACAGCGACCAGGAAGTGTCCTCTCCATTGACTGCCTGCTCAAGGCAGATCTTACCAGACAGGTGACTACAGAATGCTTGGGCTCACCGCGGAAGATGACATCCTAACTGCTGAGCCAGAGGATCCTGGCCCAGTCCCAAGTCCCCACTCAACCCCAACTGTCACACCCGTCAGCCCACTCTGTGTCTCAGGGAGGTGCCTGGAGCCCCGATGTACCCCGGAAGCACATGCACGTCTGACTCTCCTCGTGACAAGGCCAGGTGCGCTGGGCTGCCTGTCTTCTCTGAAGGCGTCTCTGGAGTGGCGGGCAACATGCTCAGGCGTGGAGTGCTTCCTGCGAGCCAACTAGGAGCTGCCCACTGCACACTTCCATGCTATTTTCTGAGTGCCCATCTCCAACTGCAGCTACACATCCGCTGCCCATCGGCCGTGGATGGCGTCTTGGCCAAACCTCCATGCTTAGATGGGTCTAGACCTGCCCCCTGCTCCGTGACCCAGGTGGGCCATGTCTGAGCAGCCAGGACCCCTCTGGGAAGGAGCTGGTTTGGAGAGAAGCCTCCTGTATCTGTGGGCACCGCAGGTGCCAGGCCCAAGGACCTCGTCTGTGATGGGTGGGCACCAACTGCAGTTATATTTCTCACCAAAGCCACAGGAAACGTACTATTCTGGGAGGAAATGCCACAGTCCACCTAGCTCACGTGGCTCCCCAGCATCACTAGGTGGGTTCGAGGAGCCGGGGCTGCACGGCAGGCCTCTACTGTGCACACACAGTTGCGGGGTGGGCTCTGCATGGGCCCATGTCTGCCCACCACCCAGCGTACAACACTCACGAACCAAGAAGCCTCCTTGTACACCTCCAGGATCACGCCCATGTGCACACACACGCCCATGAGCACACAACACAGGAGTCCACTTAAATACATACGTATGCGCAGCTGCCCTGCCACCACCCACCCCCCCCAGTCCCTGCAAAATCTCTTCAGAAAGCATGACACACTTCTGAGTCGCTTGGGGAACGATTTCATTTGTAAACCTGAAAGGCCAGCAGGGCTGCCTGCCTGCCACACCCACTGCAGCAGGCGCTGCTTTCCCACCCCAAGGGGGTCCCCTCCTTGTGGGGGGCGTCGTCTCTGAGGTGACCAGTCCAAAGCTGAGCCACTGCAGCAGAGTCTGAAGATGACTGGGCTGTGCCTCTGGGACCCAGCCGCTGCCCGGCCTGCTGAGTGCCCCACAGCCGAAAAGCTGTGTCTGTGGTCCGGTGGCTAAGTGGGCCCCCTTCTGCAGCCTTTGTGTCTGTTGAAGGGGCTCATGGCACTGCCCTGGCCTGTCACCTCAGTCCCATGGTCACTTTTGCCCCGGCTGACTGGCATTTCCTGAGCCAACGCCCAGCCATTTGGCCTGATGCTTTCCCTGCCCTGTGAGGGGCCTGTGCCTGGTGGGCGATTGGGTGATAGGATCATGCAAAGGAGGAGGCTTGTAGCATCTGTGGCCCGCAGAGAAGAGATTGGTCAGTGTGTGCCCCCCTCCCCACCCTAGGAGGAGGTGCGCTGTGTATCTGAGGAGGCAAGCCCTAGTGGTCCTTCAAGGGATGGAGCGAGGCAGGGGAGGGCGGAGGAACCCGTGGAGGAGGGAGATGTGCAGAGAGGAGAAGGGACTCTGAGGCAGAGCCGGGACTCCGGTCAAAGGCTGGACCGGGGAGTAGGGGGCCCAATGCAGAGCTGGCAATGACAGCTGGCAAGGCTGAGAGCAGGCCAGCAGCGCGGTGAGGGGCCCAGAGAGCCATCCCGCACCAGGGAGACCTGGTCTGTGGGCTCTCTGACCTGTGAGTTGTGCCATTCCTCAGTAATGCCCCCGCTGGCTCAGAGGCTAGGAGACCCAGGAGAAGTGGGTCCTGTGTGTGGGTGTGGGGGGGGGATGGTGTGAAAACTGGGGGGATGTTAAAGAGCGGTCCTCACAGGGGACAGTCTGGGGCTGATCTTGGTCACTGTCCCTCCTGCAGTGAGACAGGTCTGGATGTTACACTACTATCTGCAGGCGGGAAAGGCTGGGCCTGGCGCTGGCTGGCATCCCGGGCCATCGCTGGCACAGGAAGCTGCGAAAGGTCGCACCAGCCCTCCAGGTGAGGCGTGTGCCCACGTGGGGTTCCCCTGGTGACTCGGAATCATGGGGCTGTGTGGGGAGCGGGCCAGAGGTCAAGTCCCCTCCCCTCCCCCGGCTCCTCAGTACCTCTTCAGGATAGATCTTCGTGTGGGTCACAGGCAGGATCTGCAAGAACGGAGACACAGGTGCATGTCAGAATGGCTGACACCAGCCCTTTGGTCCAGCACCCTGCTCAGAGTGGCCTGTCACCCCCGAGCCTGTGGGGCCAGGCCCGCACTGACCATGACGGTGGCAATGATGGACAGCAGGGCGTCGCTGAAGCTCAGCATGCGGTGAGAGGACTGGAGCCCGTCGCCGGCGTCCTCATCATCCCCCTGCACGTCCAGTGGCTGCTCCGGGGCCTGGTGCCCAGCCATAGCGGGGCCTGCAGGGAAGTATGCACAGCTGCTGAGAGGAGGGGCATGGGGTTCTCAGCGTGGCAGCCGAGTGGAGCTGTGATCGCGGGAGAGGATGCAGTGGGGGGGGTGCCCACTGCTCCACCCTTGTCCCATGCTCCTTCTGGGCCAAGGCTCTGTCCCTCTCGGTCCTGGGATGTGGTCAGGGTCAGGGAGAGCTCCCTGTGCCTGGAGCCCTTGCTGAGCAGTAGCAGGGGAGAGGGAGTCACACAGGGACGCACCAATGTGCAGTGTCACCCCGCTACTGGGATGTCACCAGGGAGCAGAGCCACAC